GTTCAGCCCTTGGGAGTTAATGTCTGAGCTGGCTCTGCAGTACAGGGGTGATGTGGTTATTGGTCCTTCTGATAGGGCTGGAGTAGCCACTGACTGGTGGGAGGGCTTGTGCATTACTACATAATACATCAAACCTCTGCTGCAGCAGCTTCTTCAGAAGAGGAGATAAATTTTTCAGTGCCTCATGTGCCTCTGTGCAGGGCTCTGTCATTCCACACACCAGGGATTTCCTTACCAGCATCAGGGGACTCAACCAAGGGTGGAGAAGCTTAGACTTGGTTATTCTGAAACATGTGACCTGCTTAACACAGCTGTAAGCTTTTATGAAGGAGTTTTCTCATATAGTCTGGAGAAAAAAAAAAAAAGAGCTTAACTGGGAAATTAACTGAAACATATAGATTATTTCCTCTTCCTCATCTTCAGGTGGAAGTACTGGCACAACCTCCTGCATCAGTGACTGTGAGAAAGTTATACCTTCACTTCATCTTTTTTTCATTGAGATGAACTCCTTTTTTTACAACTCCAGTGTGCAGCTGTGTCTGTACAGTCTTGACTGTCCACTGCTGTTTTACAATCTGCATTCAACAGCACAGAGACACAATGGACATTAGTGACAAGTTATGTCTCTCAAGGGTCTGTATTGGGACCAGTGTTATTTAATAACTTCATTGATTACATAGATAAATGGTTCACGTGCACCCCCAGCAAAGTTTGCAGATGACACCAGGCCGAGCATTGAAACACCTGAAGGACAGGATGCCATCTAGAGGGACCTGGAAAAACTCAAGAAGTGGGCCCAGGGAAATCTCAAGAGTTTTAACAAGACTAAATTCAAGGTACTGCATTTGGGTGAGGACAACCCCCAGTACCAGCACTGGCTGGGGATGGACAGACCAGAGCAGCCCTGCCCAGAAGGACTTGGGATGCTGTGGGTAGAGGCTGGACATGAGCCAGCCATGGGCACTCCCAGCCCAGAGAGCCAAACGTGTCCTGGGCTGCATCCAAAGCAGCATGGGCAGCAGGGCCAGGGAGGGGATTCTGCCCCTCTGCTCTGCTCTGCTGAGAGCCACCTGCAGGGCTGCATCAGCTCTGGGGGGCCAGCACAGGAAGGACACGGAGCTGCTGGAGTGACTCCAGAGGAGGTCACCCAGATGGTTGCAGGGATGGAACACCTCTCCTGTGAGGAAAGACTGAGAGAATTGTTGTTGTTCAGCCTGGAAAACAGAAGGCTTAGGGGTGACCTAGTTGTGGCCTTCTAGTACGTGATGGGAGTCTACAAGAAAGATGGAAAGAGACTTTATACAAGGACAAGAGAGAATGACTTCAAACTATATGAGGGTGGGTTTAGATTAGATATTAGGCAATAATTTTGTACTGTGAGAGTGGTGAGGCAGTGGAACACATTGAAAGAAATAGTGGGTGCCTCATCTCTGGAAGTGTTCAAGGCCAGGCTGAATGGAGCTCTGGGCAGTCTGGTGTAGTGGAAGTGCCCCTGCCCATGGAAGGGCGTTTGGAACGAGATTATATTTATGGTCACTTCTAACCTAGACCATTCTAGGATTCCATAATTATCAAGTTTTGCTCATCTGAGCTGAAGCTCAGAAAACAATAGAGAAAACTAGGGAAGATGCTAATAGGGTTGAAACTGCTGTTTCAAAACATCTGCTGTTCTCCATTTTTCTTGGCTTCTGCTTCCCACCCCTTTCATTTTAGAATCTCTTGATGAAACAGAAGTAAAATCCACTAGTCTGCATTTCAGAAAGTAGTCTTTAAACTTTCAAACATGGTAGACATTTTCACCTATGTTTTCCTTGCACAAAAACTGCAATGGAAAAATATCAGAGCAAAATTGGCAGTGTGTGTCCCTGGAGGTCCTTTTAAAAAAAATTGACCCATTCAAAACTATATTCCACCCTTAGGCCTAAATAACTGGTTTATGTTCCAGGTGAATTTCTGCAGCAATTTGCAGTTCTACTTTTTCAATTATCTATTTTTCCCCTATTGAGATCTTATTCATTCCCATTTACTTCTGCAAAGACTTTTTTCCTGTTCATAGTGCCATTATGCTTTTCCCGACTATTTCTTTGAAATTAAGTGCTTGGTTCTTTATCTTTTCCTCATTAATTACTGATGTCTTTTTGACCTCTGCTTTGTAAGCGACCATGCCATATTTCTATTTCCTATCTTTTAGGCTTGTTTAAGATATTTTCTTTCTTTAATGACCTGCTCTGAATAGCTTTGTTCTTGTTTTTCAGTCATTTCCCAGAATGGCCACACAGCCAAACCTTTGCCCTGCTCTCTTGTTTTTCATCTTGTCTCTGCTGTATCAATGGCCTAGTTAAAAATGTATTTTACAGCTCACTGAGGACAAACCTCACTCCATTTGTATAATTATGCTGATCATAATCTCAAAAACCTTTTGCTATGACTGTGCACCAGTTAGAACCTCTCTATTGAGGGCCAGAGGCAGTTGGGTGTGAACAGAAGTGGGTATTGCTTTTAGGCTTGGAGTTTGGCTTAGAAGAACATGAACAGAAGCCATGAATGTTGGATTAATGAAATGTCAGTTTAAATGGCTGAAGACTTTTTTCTGTGTAAAGGTTGTAAGCTTTTTTTGTCAAGCTCTTCAGTGAGATGGGTGATACTTTGGTACTTCAGAAGACTCAAACTTGTCATTAGGTATCAAAATTATTGCTTGGACTGATTCCACATATACCATTTCACAATGCCTTATAGTGGCATTTTCATTTGCTTCTTCCTTCTTAATAATTCTCCAAGTTTTTTTTGTTTGTTTGTTTTATAATTGAAAATATTCAAATAGTTCATAAATTATTTTCCTGTCTTTGCCAAATTTCCCATTAGTGTCAGTGGAATCTCATTTAGCAGGCAAGGTTAGGCTCTACCATCACCTCTCAGTATTCCTTTCTCGAGGAGTGATGGCTAGGAAGGAAAGCCAGCTGCTTTTTTCAAAACTGTGAGAGTTCTGGGCCTTGTTACTGAAATATATTTAATATATGTGTAAAGGAAGACATGATACATGCAGGCATTTGCTGTCATTTTGTTCTTTTAAATAAATAACTGAGTATAATGAGTCTCAGCCACAGAATGAACATAATGAGCCTCCAAAAAATATGTTGTCTGAGAGCAATATTTACCACTGAGGAAGGGATTGTTACAGAAACAAGAATTGTTTAGACGTTAGCGGGTGAGGTAAGAATCTATTAAAGGAATTAAAAGCAAAGATGACTCATCACACACTTCTGCTTATTTGTAAGAGACACATGAAAGGCAGGGATTTCAAAACATTCGTATTAGAAAAACATCAATAACAAAGCCCCCTGGTTTAATTTTTCGGTCTCGTGGGCTTCAAAAGAAGATGTGACTTTTCCACGTCTGCCTTGAAAATCACACAGCACTGGAAACTAGAAAAGGCTTTCTTTGCTTTGCTACATTTATTTCTTAGATTTGTTACCTATAGATGAAATTTACACCACTTTCTTCTCTGCAAAAATCTAGAAACTGTTTTTGTTGCATTGAGAGTCAAGTTTCTGATATGTCTCAAAGGGGAAAGTTCTTCTCCTGCTGCTGATGCTGATGCTCCCGTGGCTTGCCGAGGAAAGCCTGCCTCACCTGCTGCTCACCACTTGCTCCCCCTCTCCAGCCAACCCACTGCTCTCCCTGCTAAGAAAATCCCTCTGGAACAGAGATCAAGGGAGTCAATCAGCTCTCTGTGCTTTGCTTTCCCTGTCATGGGCAGGAGACCCTTGCAACGGGTTAGTGTAACATTGATTTAGGCACAAAACAGCAGGGCCAGGCTTTTATGAGGTTATGTGGGTACTGGAGCAAAGTGTCACAGAACAGATGTGGTAGAAAATTCGTCTTAACATGTTTTTCATATTAGGATACAGATAATACTGAGAGTAGAATAGAATAGAATAGAATAGAATAGAATAGAATAGAATAGAATAGAATTAATGTAAGTACAGAATTTGTATGGGTACCTTTGCTATAGGAGGATAATAGACAACATAGGAACAAAAGCAGGAAAACAGAGAAAGAAGTGAAAGCAGAGGAGAATGTGTACACAATGAAGCAAGCTGGCAAGTTGGCCAGCGCAGTGACTATGTTGGGAAAAGAAAGGGAGATACAGTTTAGCAAGTCTCAATCCCTTTCATTGTACCACTTAAATTTTGCAGAACAATATTATTTTAGATGTCTCCTGTAAATCCATCATCTACTAAAGCAGCCCTTGAAAATGAACTGGCTGGTACAAGCTCCTGCTCATTTTGACAGGGCAGTCAGTAAAGCCCTGACGTGGTGCAAAGTGGCAATAATTTACCTAGCACAGGAGAGGTACCTCAAGGATCAAAAACACTTATAAGGCTGGGAAAGGGGCAGCCAGGGAGAGGGAAGAATGTGACCTGGCTGTTCCCCAGGTGAGACGGAGCCACTTGACGGAGCACTGCTGGGGAGAGCTGCACCAGTGCTGCAGTGCTGCTGCTCCTCTCCCTTCCTCAGTTTCTGACTTGGCAGAGCCCAGTGAAACCGAGTGGGGACAGGCAGAGCCCTGCAGCTCTCTGACTTGATGAGAAGTGCCACACATTCAGGAAAATTAAGCTGTGCTGAGCTCAGGGCTGCGGGGTCAAACTCCTGCCAGACTTCTGCAGTCTGCCCCATGGGCTCATTCTCGAGGATGACAAGGGAAGGCAGGGGGAGAAAGGACAAAGGGGCAAGAAGGTTCTGAGATCCTTCTCACATCCTTCTTCAAAAGGTGCTATCAATTCAGCAGGGTCAGCATAAAGTGAAGGCAGCTACTTTGACTTGTGGAGGCATCCTCCCCATACTCAGAAACAGCATCATGTCCTGCACAGGCAGGGTCCAGTAGGCACTGAAACAAAAACAGGCTTTTGGGGACTTTGCTTTTTAGGAAAAAGTGATTCCTTTCTGAAGTGTAACTTCGTGGGGAAAAAAATACCACTAAAAAACTCAAACAATTTCCATTTTTGAGAATTAAGAAAAACTGTTTATTTTAATAATGCTTTTTCTCTTTACTGCATACTATTTAAAAATGCCAAACTGCATTTTTTCCTCCCACTTAAAGGTACAATGAGCCATATAAACATAAGCCATAGGATATTTCAACCCAGGAACCAATTGCTTTCAAATTCATCATGCTCTAAGAAAAATGCCTTTATCCTAAGATATCAATAGAAGCTGCTGCCATGTTTGCTACAACACATGATACTTGTTTTGTAAGTCCTAACTCTGATATTACAGTTGTTTGTGTATCTTCCAACTGAACATACCGTGCTTCTGTTTAACTGTCTATTTATAGTCATAAGAGAAATAAACATATAAAATAAATGCATCTTGATGCATAGCTGTGCAGCAGTACAGATGTTTTATTAATGAAAATGAATCCAGCTTTTTGTAAGTCATGGCAGCAATATAACGTATCATTGTTTGCTTCTCTGTTAGATGGTCCCTGCTGTTTTTACATAGAAATTCCTGTAATACTTAAAGGACATCTGGAAGAATTCAGCCAATTAATCGAATTCACGCAGGAGCTAGGCTAATGGCTGTCTGAAAGGCAGATTACATTAAATCAAACTTGCAATATGAATGAAAGTACTTAATCATACATGCAACATTCATTAGACGTGGCACAGCAAGTGTTTTGATTACTTTAATGAAAGATCAGGTAAAGTGCATCAACTGAACAGATTGAAGAGACAGCATGCTTACAAATGTTTGATTATGTTGACTATCAACAGAAACAGTGCCAGTAATTTATAGCAAAACATATTTGGAGGAGGAGGAGGAGGAGGAGGAGGAGGATGAAGCTGGTGAACTTGGGAGGCAAAATGAAATTTAGGCCTTGTCTCCAAGCACTTTAATTAATATTTAGGATAGCAAGACTTTGATTAAATGTCACAAAAGAAGCAAAACAAATACAAGTGGAGAATCCTGCATGGCAGCTGCTAGGGATCATTATATTAGCAGTACTTGGAGCATGATGCTGGTTTTGAGTCCCCTCTTCTGGCTTTGAAGTAAAGAGGGCTAAATCCTAAATGGAAAAAATATTTTCGAATTTTTTCAAAATGAGATATATGCTTGATGATTTTGGTTTGGTGCTGCTTATCCCCTGGATTCTGCTGGAGATGTCTTCCAGTCACCACTGCCCTTGTCTTCTATGCAGGCACTGGCACCTGGAGAGGGGAAGGAAGCTGAAGGGGAGCTCTGGTTTTAGATCCTTCTGAAGCAGTGACATATTTTCCCTTTTCCTACCTCATCAGCCAGCAAAGCATTTTGCCATTGCCCTTCAGGGTTGCACAGGGCTGTTCACCCACAAAATAAAAAAAGTAGAGAGTCTCCATCCTGACACACTTGCCAAGGCACTGCAACCTCACCTCTCTGAAGCTTCCTGCACAATGAGCATTTGCCAGGTCTCTTTTGTGAAAGAGCAAAGTGGATGGGCTCAGAAGCTGGAGGTGAACTGTCAGAAAAGAGCAGCAGCACTCTGGCTCAGTGTTGCCTTTCCTTTGCCCTCCTCTGTCACATTCCCTGCAAAGAGATCAACCACTGTTTCCTTTTGGGAGCTATCATCCTCCTTGTTGCTTTTCTGAGATGCAGGCATCCGGCTCAGATGTGGTTTATTTCCTTGCAATGCAATTTTCCATCTTGTTCCTAACAAACAAACTGTTTCTAGCCAGCTTTCCATGTTGGTTTACTTGTCTTCTCCCACCTCCTGCTACTGGTTTTCCTTTTCAGCATCTCCCATGCTCCATCTGCCCCTCTGCAACTGTTGTTAGCAGTGGTGGCTCCTGCAGTGCCATCTGCCATCTGCTTTGCCGTGGTCAGGCCATGCCTGCACCTCGTTTCACAGTAAATCCTGCCATTCCTTTGCATAGGCAAGCAAAGATGCAGTAGCATACTTCTGTCAGGAAGTGCATCCAGTTCTGGCAGGAAAGGACCTGGGAATTTGGTGTGACCTGAAGAAAATGGAGGGAGAAATAGGGAGAAATCATGGAGTAGAGGTGGCAGAAAGGTCTTGGGCAACAGCCCTGGGGAATTACCTGTTGCACCTCTGAGTCAGAGGGATTTTATTGAATAAGGTGGCCCTAGAACAGGGGCATGAAAGAATTATTGGGATAGGAGGGGAAGGAAAAAAATGTAATTATTTCCCAGTGGACTCAGCTCCCTGCACCTGCACCACATCCCTGCAGAATTGAATATGCTCCAGTGCCAGCACAAGAGCAGGATGAAATGTGACCATAACAGAATCAAGTATTTGCTGGGATTCATCTGCTCCTGATCTCTGCTCTCTGAAAGCCTCCTAGATTGAGCCCTTTTGGGAAATTAGGCAACCAGCATGTTTCTCTGTCCTGTCTAAACTTTACTGGAGGCAGGCATGGATTTTCCCAGACCAGCATGCAGCAGAGGCATCCCTCAGACACTTCATTTCTCCCACTCTCCTGCTGCCTTGTCTTCTGGTCTCTTCAGTTGCTGCTCTCTCTGCACACAGAGCCATCTGCACACACACCTGCACCGAGCACAGCTGGGACTCGGCCTCCCTAAAAGCCACTACTGATATCCACATAATTGATAACCATGGCCTTCTGTACTAGGAGATCTTTTTTCCAGTGAGCTGCAACATATAGTGATGTTTATGGGGAACAGACTGCTGAGAATCTCATGCCAAAGGAAGCCAAATCTTCCTATTCATGACATGGCAAGATCAATAAGTAAGTCCAGCATGGAAATCTGGCCAATGGCAAATGGCTTCAGCCTGGGGGTATGAGCTGAAATCCAGCTGAAATCTGCAATGAAGTAATGGAAGTCATAATGGTCCCATCGAGTCTCCTATAACTTTTATAAGTTTGGGAACATCAGTCAGTCCCCTGGAGAGGACCTGGTTTCCCTGCAATGGGCTATTGCAGATGGAGGTGGGGAAGAACCAAAATGTGAGATTGCACCTTTGGCCCTTCTGCAGCCGTTCACTTATGGAGTAGGGACAGGAGCCATGGCACCTCCCAGTATCACCTTAGTGATGGGGGAAGTGACATGACCAGTTCACAGCATCACTTCATTGGTGGGAAAAGAGGAAGGTTACATGTTTTCATAGTGTCTTCAAAACCCTTTAAATCCCTCTAACCCAAGTACCTTCACAGAACAGTGTTTTCTACCTTCCTTTACAGAAATTTAATTCTACCTTTTTGTAAATATTTGAGCGTTGAAGAAAACATAGCAGCTGTTAGCATCATTTTCCTTCAAGAAGCAGATTGTCCTCAGGTAAAACAAAACAGAATTAAGATACTAGTAAGGTCAGTTATATTAGACAATCTGTATCCTCATAATGCAGGTATTTCCTTCAATGTCTGTCACCAGCATCAAATCCCCAACTGCAGCAGGATAATTGGCAGCCCCGTTCAAGGGAGAAGATGAAATGGCTTGTGTTACCACCAAAACCAGCCTGGATTTTGTTTAAGTGCTGGAGCCTGGGGGTGGTATCGCTCATCTAGCTATATTGCTGGAGTCATGTATCAAGGACAGGCTTCTGAGGCAGCTTCTGTCTCCCTCCTATTTACTGCTCCATTAATTACAAACCAGATGTCAGGGCAAGATTTAAAAGTCAACTTTATTTGAAATCCTGCAATATAAAAAACTCAACTACAACTTTTTTTTTTTTTTTTTTTTTTTTGTGGTGGGGAGGGGAAACATGAAGGGCAGAAATGTTCTTTAATCTTTTGCTTATAGTTATTCTCTATTTTATTTTTAACTCTTATTTTTTTGAAGTTGTGGTTATTTTTTCTTTTACTGAGTGGCAAAAGGAATTTTTTCTTTTTGTTTCTGTCCCCTTAGCCCCCAGAAGAGTTTTTAGGGTTTTCTCTGGGAACCAGACCTCACTTAAGACCATCTCTCTGCCAGCTGGCATTTCTGTCATACATTCCTCTTGCTGTTTATGCCCCAAGACTGTTCAGAAATATAAATGCAGCTGCCCACTTGCTTGACAATGTTTTATCTGTGGACCATGGAGGTGTAGACCTACTCAGTGTCTGCACTGGTTTCCAGGTGTCCTGGAGCTGCTGCAGACATGGCTGAGGCTGAAAGCAATGGTATTCCAACTTCACAGGCAGAGATGACAGTCTCTGGACAGCTGGGGTGTACAAGGATCTGGATGATGAACTTCTAGTGCCAAACTCTGGAGCACCCTGGGCAATCAGATGGAGCATCCTCCAGAGTCACATAATCATGGAATTGATTACGTTGAAAAAGACTTTTAAGAATTCAACCATTAACCCAGCACTGACAAGCCAACCACTAAACCACGTCCTTAAAAGAAGGCAGCAACAGGGAAAGGCAACTAGAGGAATCTGAAGATTGTCCTCACTTTGGAAGGTCCCCAAATGGTTGGCCCAGCCATCACTGAATCTGCTGAATCTTGGCAAGGCTTGAATGGGTCCCTCAGGCTTATGTTAGCAGCACAGTTATGAACAAGGCTAAAAGTCCCCTCACACCAAATGAGAAACGTGGGCAAAAAGGGAGGCAGAGCAGTGCTGTACTACTCTTGTTTCCATCCCCTAGCACACTACCATTCAGCCTCAACCAGGGAGGAGGGAATGGACTGAGGAAGCAAAGAATGCAAGACAAGGAACTTGTTCCTCTTGTTTTCACCCTGCCAGTTCCCCACTAGAATTTTTCCACTAGAAGTTTGATTTCCAATTTACTGTGAGATTAACCCTTTGGTTAATCTCAGATCATATAAGGATGACTCTCATCTGTAAGCAGTCAACATGTTTAATCAAGGTCAACCTGATTTTAGCAGACTGTAGAGAACACAGTGTAAGGACAGGAGCAATAACATCATTCAGCTCCTTGCTTAGAAAAGCTTTGACCTTAAATAAAGTTTCCCCACAGTAGCATGTTCTGGAGGGTGTAGTGTTGTGCTCTCAGCTAGGTGATGGGACTAATGAAATGTAGTAAGAAGGTGAAAAAGTCAAAATACAGCAAATTTACACAGGATTTGGAGGTCCACAACATTGTTAGCTACTATTAAAAATTATCTGAATTTTTTAACTGCAAAATTTTTGGTAAGAGTAAAGGAGGATGCCAAGAAGATAAACCCATGTAACAGTTTGGAAAGATTTGAGAATTGGGTGTAATTCTAGTCAGTACAGTTACATTCTATTGTAAATGGGGGAGGGGAAATAATCACAGAATAATTGTGACCCTTCCAAGTGAGAGCTAGAGCACTGGGAGTTTGTACTGGAGCAGAGACAGCCTGGGCAAACCAGTATATTTATTGAGAGAAATAAGTCACAAGGTGGATGAACCAGCTTGAATCCCCATGTAATTTTGCTGGTGCATTTGTCAGACATCTGCAGACATTGGCACATGCTGCAGCAAGAGCAAGGTGGAGTGATGGGTTCTACAGTTTTGGGTCTCACCTTAGAAACTGATCATAAACTGGAGGCAAGTTTAGAAAGCTACAAGAGGGCTGTGCTGGAGGACACTGTGAGTAAGGGAGAGGCACAGATGGGCCTCCCATCTCTCTCACAGGGAAAAGACAAGAAGAACCACAGGAGGGACATCACCCGGGGAGATGGAGGAGCGATTCCACATTTGTGACTGTAGGTTACTCCCCAAGCCTTCCCATCATGTCTGGGCCACGTCAGATGATGACACTGGGGGCCTGGAGATACTCCCTGATGCAATTCCAATTTACATCTTTTACTGGAAAAATGTTTGGAGTTTCAGTAACCACATGTGCTTTCCCACTAGTACTCTACCTCCAGCCACTCCTGTGCTGGAAAAGGCATTGCTGGATTCTTCACCTCTTAGGACTGAGCTGGACATTCCAGAAGTGCACATTCCTACCACAGACTATTTTTGCAATGCAACAAAAGCAAATAAAACATTAATGGGAATATTGTTTACAAGGTGAAACTGAAAAAAACTATTTACATACCGCTTGGAGGAGCAGTGGATCTGTAACCAGAGATCCAGTTATTCAGTGAGAAATGTATCTGGGAAGTTCCAGCTACAAGGGTAAAAAATTTTGGGTAAAAATCAAGCAGCCAGTCAGTGGAGTGACCTAACTGCACAAAAGCATGGCTCACTGGTCCTGTTTACAGTGGTTTGTACTAACAAAGGGTGATCTCTAGCCTGTGGAGTAAATAATCTAATCTGAGATTCAGTGCAACCATGAAAATGGAGGAAAATGGGAGAGTAGAGTAATGTAAAACATGACTAAGGCTTTGCTAAGCAAATATAATTGAAGCACTTACACAGCGAAGTGGCTTGAGAGAGTGTGTTGAGCAGGTGGGAGGAATTCTGGTCTTGCATGAAGGCTTCACATCTTTCTTCCACTTCTGGAAACCCCCTCGAACCAGAGGTGCCGTTTCTCCCTTTCTCCTGATGCTCTCTACTTCCTCCGGCTGGGCGATGCTTCCAGCGGAGTGAGTCCGACCGTCCTACCCTGGCAAGGGCTGTCTGGCCCTGCTCAGGGAGGTAGCGAGGCTCCGGCGCGGTCATTTCCAGGGCACGCCATCTCGTGTACACTGCGGCCAGCGGGTCTGCGGGCGGGACAGCACCGTCCTGCCGCCAAACCCCGGCTCGGGAGCAGGGGCGGTCCAACAGGAGATGCTGGTACCGCGCGGTGGGGCCGGAGGGGCTGCTGAGACCCCTAAAAAGGCGATTAGTGCTTCAGCAAGCACGGCTCCTGCCTTTCTCCAGGGGCGCACCGGCTGCCACCGGGCTCACGGCACCCGCGAACGGGCCGGGAGTTGCACCGGGGCGGGATGGGGGGAGGTTCGGGCGCTTGTGCAGTTTGCTCTACCACAGCCCAGTCTTGCCTCCCCTGGGCTCCGCAGGCTGCCCGCGGGCGAGGGTGCCAAGGGATCAGTCATGGCCACTACTCAGAGCCGTGATTTAGCATTTTACGCTGCAGTGGCAGCTCGGCAGCCCTGCTCTTGCATTGGGAGCTCACCGCAATACCGGAGCTTTCTGGCTACTTCTGGGAAAACTCCTGCTGTGGCTGTGCAGAAGGACGGAGCCAGTTCCCAGCTCTGGCTCCCTTCAGCGGAAGGATGCGCGGGGCGGTCCGTGCAGCCCCGGCAGAGGATGAAGGCACCGGCACGAGCACCCACGACAGACGCTCCTGCTCGAGCACCGCCCGGCCTCTCGGCCGAGGCAGCAGCGCCCGTGACCCAGCTCGGGGTCTCTCCCATCTTGGCGCCATTCAGGCCCCATTCCAGTCGGTCCTGCAGGGCGCCGGTGTGCGCTCCCGGCGGCGCTCCGCCTGCTCCCGCCGCCCGAGCGCGCCCGCCCCGGCGGCGGGAGCCCCGGCCCGCTCCGGCCGCCGCCGCCCCCCGCCGCCAGCGCCGGCCCCAACTCCTCATTGGCCGCCGCCGCCGGAGGGAGGATGACGCCCGGGCGGGAGCGGGCGCCGGGGGTATAAAGGCCGGGCGGGCTGGCCGTGCCGCGCTCCCGCTGCCCCGCGCCGCCCCGCCATGCCGCGCGGCTTCCTCGTCAAGCGCAGCCGGAGACCCGGCGGCTCCTACCGGGCACGCCCGCGGGAGCGGGACCCGGAGCGGGACCCTCCGCCCACCCCGCCGCCGCCCCCGCCGCCCGCCGGCGGGGACAGCCCCGCCGCCAGACAGGGAGCGGAGGAGGAGAAAGGCGAGGAGGAGAAGGGAGCCGTCGCCGCTTGCCCCGCGACGTGGCCCCCCGGCGGCGGCTGCGGCGGCCCCGGGCTCACCCCGCCGGAGGCTCCGGCCGCCTGGGGGGCGACGGGGCCGTGCAGCGCGGCGGGGCCGCGGGCGGCTCTCTTCGAGCGGTGCCTCAGCTCCCCCGCCTCCGCCGAGTCCTTCCCCCTGGCCGCCTCCTTCCCGCCCGCCGAGAAGCTGCTGCTGCAGCCGCGCACGCCGCTGCCCGCCCCGCCGCTGCCGTCGGTGCCCGCGCTGAAGCGGCCGTCTCGGGCCAAGGCGCCGGCCAAGAAGGGCAAGGCCACGCGGAAGCTGAGCTTCGCCGATGAGGTGACCACCTCGCCCGTGCTGGGGCTGCGCATCAAAGAGGAGGGGCCCGAGGGCCGGCCGGGGCCGCCGGCGGGGCGCACACCGCTGGGCGAGTTCATCTGCCAGCTGTGCAAAGAGCAGTACGCGGACCCGCTGGCGCTGGCCCAGCACCGCTGCTCCCGCATCGTGCGCGTCGAGTACCGCTGCCCCGAGTGCCACAAGATCTTCAGTTGTCCCGCCAACCTGGCCTCGCACCGCCGCTGGCACAAGCCACGTCCTGGCCCCAGCGCCGAAGGCGCCGTCTCCGTCCCGCCGGGCAAGGAGAACAGCCCCGAGCGGCGGCCCCGCGGCCCCGCCGCGCCCCAGCCGCCGCCGGGGACCCGTCAGCACCGCAGCGGCGCGGACAGCGCCGGCGGCGCCCCGGCCGACCCCGGCTCCAGCCCCGGCCCAGCTCACGGCGGCGCTCCCGGGCCGGGAGGCGGCCCCGGCGGGGGGGCGTTCGCCTGCCCCTGTTGCCAGAAGCGGTTCCGGCGGCAGGCTTACCTCCGCAAGCACCTGGGCACCCACGGGGCAGCGCGGCCTGCCGCCTTTGGCCCGCCGGAGCGCGGGCCCCTCACCTTCGCCTGCCACCTCTGCGGCGCCCGCTTCCCCTCGGCGGACATCAGGGACAAGCACCGGCTGTGGCACGCCGTGCGGGAGGAGCTGCTGCTGCCGCCGCCGCCGCCCGCGGGGGTCCCCGAGAGCGGCGCGGCGGGAGGCGAGGGGCAGGGCTTCCCCTGCAAACACTGCCCCGCCACCTTCTTCAGCGCGCCCGGGCTGGCGCGGCACGCCAGCAAGTGCCACCCGCCGGAGGGCAGGCAGGTCCTGCTGCTCCAGGTGCCCGTCCGGCCGGGCTGCTAGGCCCGCGGCCGCCCCGGTGGGACTGCTCCGAGAGCCGGGGCTAGCCGAGCGAGCCCTGGCCACGCTGTAATTCCTATGGAAAGTCGCGGCTCTCACGGCTACGACGTCGGAGGAGCCGCCCGCTGACTGCCGGCCGGTGGGTAGCGACGCGCGCCCGCGCCGGCTCGGCGGCGGCTCAGCCCCCGGGCCGCACTGCCGGCAGCGCCCACGCCGGGCCCGCAGGGCAGGGAGCGCCGCGCAGCTCCCCAGCCGCCGCGACGGACGGGGGACGGGGGGCGGCCGCCGGCTCGGCCCTGGGCCGGCGGCAACAGGCGAGAAGTCCCGGCAGCATCTGCCGAGAGGCGGGCAGTGCCAAGGCGTTAGATGGCGGCCAAGCGTCAGTGTATCTTCCGGAGCGACGGAGAGAAAAGTACGGCTGTACATAGGGTATCTAAAGAGAGGAATTATTTTTCGTGCGAAAAGGAGCCTGATCTGGTGACCTTGTTTTAATAGCCTTAGCCCCCGAGCTTCAACATTCGTGATGTACTCTGTACTAAGGTAGCCGAGAAGGTAAATGTTCATATTAAGTCAGTGTCAAGTCACATAATAGCTAGCAAAACGTATGGGAAATTAATCGTGCTGTCTGCTTAATTGAAATACGAGGTGTTGATCTATAGCTAAGTACGCATCTCCTGCTTACTCTGTGCTCTAGCAACTGTGTGGTAGGCAAAACACACGTCTCTGGCAGCTGCCCGTTCCAAAGCTGCTCCGCTCCGTCCGTGGCTCGTTAGCGCGGCACGGGCAGCAGCCAGAAGGGCAGCTCGGTCTCACTAGGCTGCCTGAGCAGCGTGTGGCCCTGCCGGCCCTGCACCGCGGCCAGGTGGAAAGCACCCTGCGTGCGGCTCGCCTTTTCAGGCGGCCTCGACCCCTCTCCTCTGTGAGCTGCGCTTTTCATGTGAGCTCCTCCGAGTCTCGTGAACAGCTGAAATTAGGACACGAAGCAGTCTTTAGACATGTTGCCAAAGCGCGGGTGATAGGCTACCTTCATCTCCCTAATGACACCTACCTTTAGCAAAGCAACCTGCGGTGTGTATTCCCTGGCTTTGACAGTGCTCTGGCCAAATGCTTTGAAATGCTGCTGAAGTTACCAGCTACTGACACTTTAGCTGGTGTCAGTATTTGTTTGTTTGTTTATTTATTTACTTATTTATTTTTCTATGAGTGCTTGTTTCTAAATGTGACAGCAGATGAGGCTAAAAATAAGGGCAAGAAAATTCAATAAAAGATTTAAAAGAAAGCTCATGCCCTTCTTGAATTCAGCAGGGCAAAGTGGGTCAGCTGGTGACTTCTGAAGAACCAAATTGATCCAGTCGTAGTCTTTGTTCTAACACTCTGATACGAGCATGCAAAACATTTCAATCTCTCAATTAGCATCCTCTAAAGCAATTATTTCTGTGGTTTTATATTTTGCTAGATGTATCATGCCCAAAGGATGCAAGCAAGCGATAAGTGCTTTACGTTAAATGTGCTTCACGGACTTTGTCATTTTAGTTCCAGAACCTGGAAAAGTGAATTAATAAAATATAACCTATTTCAGCCAAGATTTGCTTTCTGACAAAGGAGGCTAAACCTGCAACTCACTAATATGCCAAAAATAAAGCATGTTAATTTAAGTTGTGCATTTTTCTGTCATTTGTTGACAACAGAGACATAGGTGAAAATGCCTGGAGAAAGTCACTAGTTTTTGGTTTTTTTAAAATCATGTTTCCTCTTTCTCTCCTTGTGTAGTCAAAGGTGAAGGGCTCCAGATCACACAAACATGATGATTATTAACTCATGCTACAATTAGCACTTGAACAACCAGCCTGCCAGAGGCAACAGCCTATGCTTCGTATTATCTGCTGAGCTACATGCAATGTATTTACTAGATCTGGAGAAAAGTTTTCAGTAGGGCATCCTTGAGAACTTGTGTGTACTTTTTAATACAAAGGAAAACTAAGCTGTGTATTGCATTTAACTGCTCCATGTGCATGTAATACACAATTCCTCTATAAATTGGACTAAGAATCTAATCAGTGAGGTGAATAACTAATGTACAAAAGGTGGTAAGAATAATTTTATTGGATTATTAAATAGCATGTCTTCTCTTCAACCATTACAAATTTGTAGATACTACATGAATGACAATACATAATTTCTTTTTTTATTGTTGCCCATATATTTACACATGCAGTTAGTACCGATGCCATGCTACATTTTGTTAACAGCATTTTGTTGTTTACTAGACTCAAAATGTGAGCATTTAATTTTTGTAGGAAAATACCTCTGGGTGGGTGGAACTCGTGTACTAATCTGCGCTCACAAGGTTGAAATTATTAGCATTTCAGGCCAGGCTCCCGGAGCATGTTCCCTTTTCTTCCCTAGTACCCATCATCACAGCAATGAATTTCTATCAGGAAAGTGTTTGTTTGTTTTTTAATTTTTTTTAATGTAAGAAAAAAGAATATACATCTAGATGAAACAGCATAATGATAATGGCTAAAACTCATGAAACTCAATGGCATTTACTACTGATACCACTTGGAAAAGCAAACATTATAAAAATATTTGGAAGCTGAGCATAAATAGAATTTCAGGACAGTGATTTTTTTTTTTCTGGCATAGATTATCTGCAGAATTATGAAATGATACATTGCTTTATGATGAAAGAGTGCTATGACCAAATTATCTCATTTGGATTCTGTGATACTTGAAACGCCATTGAACTATTTTATTCTCAACATAAATAATCTGTACACATCTTGTGCATTAACATTGTGACATCTGACAAAGACTTTACAAATGCAACTTCAATTTAAAATTGTACATTCATTTTCAAATTGTACATATTTCTTTCTTTGTTACAGAGAAAATTGCAATGGGGCACAATAAATATAGTGTAATCCAACTGCAGTCTCCAATTCCATGTTGACTCAAGATCAACCAGAGTTAAAACCCAAAGTTAATCATCCATAATCATCCAAGTAGGTAAAAGGTGCAGAGTACAAACTGCACTGCAAAGAAAAAAAAAAGGCAGACTGGAGTTTGATAAAAAAAACCAAAGCTAAAATATTAAAGTAAATTCCAGTGTCACTGTTTAAAATAAACATACAGAAAAGGAGTATGCAGGGCATGGGTGCACACACATGAAACATTATCCTCGAATGAAAGGCGTGAGCATAAAAAAACCCAAAAGGTGGTGAGTGCTGCGGGAAGGGTGGCCAGTGCTCTTCACTAGAAAGCTGCAGGCATCTTGCCACTTAGGACTTGTTGGCTGAGCCAGAGGAGCGGCGCAGTTTCATGGACATGCGGCTCTTGCTAGTCCGAGGAGACATTGGAGAGGCTAAGTCTGTTCCATCCACCTGTGCTGTTGCTGCTGCTGG